ATGCATCAGCTGTGTGTGTGTGTGCATGTGTCATACCTGTCCAAACCCATAAACCCACTGCTAGGTGTTTATAGGAAGTCTGCTGCCTATAGCAATGGCTCAGTTGCCCCTTTACTCTTTCCGGGCAAAGCATGACCTCTTTTATTCTCCACGCGGGGCAGGATGACCCCAGGTGTGTGTATGTATTTGTGCATGCACTTGACGAACTCCACCCCACATCCTAGCTACTGGCTTCCTCGGTCTGTCAGTGTGACAGACAATGCCTCTGAGGGTTTGTCCATTTTCCATTTTATCTTTTAAATTTGATGGTGTCCCAAATAATAGTGTAATCCAGCAGCAGCAGCCCACAGCCAGCTAGAATCCATCCCGCAATGAGTCCACTAAAGTGAAGCGCTAATAGAGCGGAGTCATTTCCACAGAGATCAGCGGGACTGATTCTGGATCAGTTTTCAGCATTTGGCTGAGATCATGTATCTGTGGGTTGGAGAAATCTGCTGTCTGAACAGGTGCTCTGTGTGGTGAGGAAGGTAGGAGTGCTGAAAAGAATGAATAATAGAAAGAATACTGAGTTTATATCTTTTGAATTGAACGGCTAAGCTTCTTTAGACTTGTTTTTCAGCTATTTTATTCATTTTGCTTTGTGTGTGTGTGTGTGTTGACAGAGTGGTTCAAATATATAGATAAATATGGAGGTGGTTAGAGTTAAAAAAAATTCTAAGAAGTCTCTTATGCTCACCAATTCGGCAAAACAGTAATATTGTGAAATATTATAATTTAAAATAACTGTTTCCTAATTTAAAATAAAATGTCACTAGGCAATGTTTTTGCTCAGAAAGTTCTCTATTGGATGTTTTTTAAAAATGTTTCACCAGAAATAATGTAATAATCTATATATTGTGTTACTACTATTTTGCCTTTTAAAATACATTGATCTTATGAAAATAGTCATAGATGCTGATGTTCATACAAATAACCAAAATAAATAAATAGATTCTAATTTAGAATATAATTTATTTCTGTGATTAATAGCTGAATTTGAACCGCTGTGCTGCTTAATTTATTTTGAATAGAAAGTTCAAAAGCATTTAAATAGAAATCTAATGTAATATTATAAATGTCTTTACTGTCAATTTTGATCCATCTAATGTATCCTTGCTGGGGGGAAAATATATTATATTTTTTTAATATATAATATTTTAAATTATTATATTATATTATATTATATTATATTGTATTATATTATATTATATTATATTATATTATATTATATTATATTATATTATATTATATTATATTATATTATATTATATTATATTATATTATATTATATTATATTATATTATATTATATTATATTATATTATATTATATTATATTATATTATATTATATTATATTATATTATATTATATTATATTATATTATATTATATTATATTATATTATATTATATTAATTATTCTATTCTATTCTATTCTATTTATTCTATTCTATTCTATTATACAGTAGATTCATCCCTACCCATAAATTATGATTAACATTTTCATTTTGCAAGTCTTATTTTTGAAAATAAATGTAAATAAAATGATATTACTTTGAATCAACATCTGTCATTAGTAAAGTTCCACGCGTCCCTAACTCCATGCGTGTTTGTTTATTTTGATGATGCCTTCAGCTACCAAAATAAGTTTTTATTCTTAACTTTGTTTAACATATTTTTCCATATCTAAATCCATTCCCCAGAATTCCACAGTTTCCCCCCACAATCAGCACCGAAAATGTGTGACAGATTCCATGCGGACCTAAAGTTGTGCTGACAGTGATAGTACTGTTTACCTAACCGTGTGTTTCGGTGTGTGCGTCTCAGTTTATATTGGTGAAGTAATAAAATGTCATATCAGCAGAGCTTGGCTAAACAGCAAGAAATCAGAATGTCTGCTAAATATTCGTGACCGGTTACAGGAGCGTGGAGCCGTGTGTGTGTGTTTGTGTCTGTTTTCTGGTCCCTGCACAAAATTCGCCATCACATGCCACCGATCCAGATGATAATGAACCGTTTGCATGCATGTCATTTTCTGAAGGTCACACACACACACACATACACACACACACACACAGGACCTGACAGTAAATGAAGGACATGTGAAGAGTCCATCAATCTAGTTAACATATACATGACTTTGACAGTGACCCAGTCCATTTAGAATATCCAGTGGCAGATTATTCCAGAGAGTGACATTCAGAATGTGTGTTTGTGTCTCCTGGTGTGTGTGTGTGTGTGTGTAAGGGGTAGTGGAGTACTGTAAGATTAGATGCTTTGCTTGACTGGGAATCCTCCCATAATATATAATAATTACATGGATCATTGCTTTCCCACCTCAGAGAGCAAGAGAGAGAGAGAGAGACGGCCAAATGAATTCAATTTCATCTGAGCTCCTCCATGCTGATGAGGAGAAACGGCCTTATGGGATATGGTGAGGATGACAGCACGCCTTACTGCTCTCGTTTCACTAATCACTCCATCCAGCACTTCTCTATCATCCGACTGTCCTCTTCCTCCTCTCCTTCGCGCACCCATCTGTCTCTGAGTAATTCATGCCTCCAAGTTTGGACTGAAGTTATTGAAACATTGCTTCATGCAGATCTTTCTGATAAATTCAACTTCTCTTTCTGAAGCTTTTGCTTCAGTCTGACTGGCGTCTTTTCTTCAGGCCTTAAAGGGACAGATCATCAAAATCACTTTTCACTTTGAGCCTGAATCGAATGTGATATCATAAAAAGACTGTGTACCACAAAATAAAGGCAAGACAGCATGTTTTTCTATTAGGTTGTCCTCACAGGCTGCATGAAGACCAGTTGTGTGTGTACATGCTTCTCTCCCGCTTGTTTGACTACAAATGACTCTTATGAACCGTTTTTTTGAATGAATCATTCAAACAGACTCTTAAACTTAGGGTTTACCTGTTTGATGAACTGAATAAACGGATTCAGTCACTGAATCAACATCTGATTGACTTGTTTTTAGTGATGTTCATCTTGAAATAAAACACTTAAAGTTTGTGAAACGCGTTCATATAACATGTATCCACAGATACAAATTAAGAAATTAATACTTTTATTCGGCAAAGATGCATTAAATTGAACAAAAGTGACAGTAAAGTCATTTTATAATGTTACAAAAGTTGTTCTTTAATTTTTGTAGTTGTTTGCAAAAGTTAAAAATGCTGTTCTTTTCAACTTTGTATTTATCAAATAATCCCGACAACTAAAATATTAAGCAGCACAACTGTTTTCAACATTGATAATAATAGTAAGAAATGTTTCTTGAGCATCAAATCAGTATATTTAAATGATTTCTGAAAGATCATGTGACACTGAACACTGGAGTAATGTTGCTGAAAATTCAGCTTTGCATCACAAAAATAAAATACATTTTGAAATTTATTCAAACAGAATTTATTTTGAATTGTTTCACAATATTTCTGTTTTTACTGTGTTTTTTCTAAACATCTTCTTTTGTGTTCCACAGAATAAGTCAAGTCAAGTCAAGTCAAGTCAAGTCTGCTTTATTGTCAATTCTTCCACATGTACAGCACATACACACAGAGAATTGAAATTGCGTTACTCTCAGACCCTTGGTGCATACAGATAACACTAACAGTAGAACATAAATACAGATATACAGATTAAATATAAAATACAACTATACAAATATACAAATAAGGTAAAATGTAAAAAAAAAAAAATATATATATATATATATAAAAACAAATAATACAGGTTTGAAGCAACACAAGGATTAGTAAATGAATCCACACTATTTCTCAGATCAGTCCGTATATCTTTAATTCATTTCTGTGCCTTTTCCTGCCTTTCTCTTCTCATCGCAGGACCACATGACTCCCTCTGCAGGCAACGATAAGGGTGAAAGGAGGGAAATAAGAGAGGAGGGAGTTGACAGAGGGGAGAGAGGGGCTAAGATAGGAAGAGAAGGGGGCTGAGTGGGCATCCCTGTGGAACACATGGAGCAGTAGATGGACCTGTAATGAGCACCTGAGAGAGAGAGTGAGAGAAAGACAAAAAAGAGTGGGAGTTAAGCTTGAAAAATATTGCAATCCTCTAGCAAGGACCAGCTCAGAAATGTGCTGATGTTTCTTCCAAACACATCCACACGAAAACACGTTGACGTTAACCATTTCTCATTATTATTTGTGGTGTTCATACAGTACTGTTAATGTAGGGGTTTAATTATTGCTTTAACATCTGCATAAAAGCCATTGAATACACACACTCGTGCACAGATACACAATTTAATCACAGTGCCGTGGACCTGATGCAGCTGAGAATTCAGCATGCGGTGCTGGACTAGAATACTGACAACCACAGCCAGAGAACAGTCAACAGAAGCTCACACACACATACAAATAGCCTTGTAGAATACTAATACACACACATCACTCCCACCAGAGGCCACTGGGTGCTAAATTAGATTGGCAATTGAAATATGTTTTTCTATGCTAATTTCCTGCCTCTGTTTCCCTCTGAAAGATTTTCATTAGCCACTCTCGCTAACACCTCACTTGAGGCTGACCGACAACTTTTAAAGAAGTAAATGAGAATACGTTTCTATTTTACTTGCATATTTGCATAAATAAGTGTCAAATTGACAATCAAACACACATGCACAAATGTTTTATTCAGGTTCTTTTTAAGTAGCTAAGTAGATGCTAGCTAGACAATGTGACGTCTAGACTGTCAAATATCTATTGCAACTACTGCTTTTTATCTGATATTTAAAGGAATAGATAACTCATAATTAAAAATGTTATTATCTACTTGTTACTTTATTTATTAGTTACTTTAATATTATTATTATTATTAATAATAGTACATATATAATGAATGTTATTTATTTACTTTTTTATTTTATATTTGAAATGCAGATCATTTACTCTTATAATGTACTTGTATATTGTATGTTGCATATTGTATTGTATGCAACTGGGCATGTAGCTCAGTGGTAGAGTGCATGCGTTGCATGTATGAGGTCCTGGGTTCAATACCCAGCATCTCCACAGACTGTTAAATTTTGGGGGAAATTTTTGGGGCTACATGCCCAGTTGCATATTGTATTGTATGCAACTGGGCATGTAGCTCAGTGGTAGAGCGCATGTGTTGCATGTATGAGGTCCTGGGTTCAATCCCCAGCATCTCCACAAACTGTTGAATTTTGGGGGAAGTCGTGGCCTAATGGTTAGAGAGTCGGACTCGTAACCCAAAGGTTGCGGGTTCGAGTCTCGTACCGGCAGGGATTGTAGGTGGTGGGAGTGAATGTACAGCGCTCTCTTCCACCTTCAATACCACGACTGAGGTGCCCTTGAGCAAGGCACCGAACCCCCAACTGCTCCCCGGGCGCCGCAGCATAAATGGCTGCCCACTGCTCCGGGTGTGTGTTCACGGTGTGTGTGTTCACTGCTGTGTGTGTGCACTTAGGATGGGATAAATGCAGAGCACTAATTCCTAGTATGGGTAACCATACTTGGCCACATGTCACGTCACTTCATATAAACCTACTATAAATCAACTTTAAGGTATTTAAGAGACTTTGAAGTAGACACGGATCTCTTTCATCAGCAGTAGGTTGCATGATAATGGTTTATCTGTTAAAGGGGTCATATGATGCGATTTCAAGTTTTCCTTTCTCTTTGGAGTGTTACAAGCTGATTGTGCATAGATAAGATCCCTGAAGTTGCAAAGA